TAATTTAATAAGAAATGAAAATTTTAATGAGAAAAGGTAAAATAGTCTTTTGTGATGGATTTGTCTTTAATTGTAACAAATCAATAGTTCAGGGGACGATTTTTAGTTCAGGAGGGTTATTTGCAAAAGGGCAATAATTTAGGGGAGTTTTTTATATTTAACCCTATATATATATATATATATATATATATATATATATATATATATATATATATATATATATATATAAAAATCATTCACTATCTCTTTATCTCAAGGAATGTGATTTTATAAAGGAATACTTTCCACCATTCTTTCTATATATCTCTTTATTCTAAACATATTTTTACTTGTGCATCCGGTTATATATCTATTTTATGTATTTGTGGGCAACTAGACAAATATAGTCCTAGACCTTAGATCTGTTTATCTACTTTTTGTGTTTGTGGGCAACGAGACAAATATAGTTTTGGTCCCGTGGTCGTGCACATTGCTCAAAAGTAAAAACTATCAGCTTTAGATTAATATGTTTACACATATCTCCTCGTCAGTCCAGTTCTTACTTATTTTACTATTATCATTTTTATTTCTTAATTTCTATTACTATATTAATTTTCTTTTGTTGAGAGTATTGAATTCTTTTGTTATGTGTTCTTATTCATTGATGTATCATTTATATTATTGAGAGAATTGCAAATTGACATGAAAGTATTAGCGATGTATTACACATACCTATTCGCTAAAGAATTATTATTCTGTAAATTATTTAGTGTAAGGTGTAATATTATAAATTTTCCTTAACATGCCACAACTCCAACACTTGGTTGTCAAAGAGAGGAAAACTTGTTTGTCTAAGATAAAGAGGTTGATCAAAATTTATATGGAATGAAGTAATAAGGAACTACCTTAAAAAATTAAATCTAAGAGAAAATATAATGAATAGTAAAAAAGAATAGAAACGAAGATTCATATGGAGATGATGATGATATTTTAAATATGTCAAACATGCCACTTTTTTATTATTATTTACAGTCTCTTCACCTCTCACTACTACAATAATTATTTAATTTGCATCCAAGAACTATATTTTGTTCTCACATATAAGTTGAACCACTACACACCTTAAATGTTCCTTTAATTCAATTGTGTGGTTTTGGTACTATTTGTTTGTGAGGTATTTTTCTTGAAATGACACATTCAAATCCAGTTGGAAGAATCATGGTTCGTAATCGCTGTATCGATTACAGTATCACTCGCGGTAATGTTACAGGATTCAGACGAATATCGGTGTAAATCGACTTGCTCATGGATGTATTTAACGGTATCAAACCATTAAAAAAATATTACAAACTGGGTGATATGTCACATATAAGCCAATACGGCGATATGTCACATATCAGCCTATACGGCGAACCATGGTAGGAATAATAAAAAACAAAAGCAAGCTAAAACCAAAACACCAAAAAACAAAAACAAAAAAACAAACCAGCCTACGCAACCAACGAAATTCCCTCTATACCCACTGAAATCAAGCTTCAACAATGGATTTAATCATGGCAGAAAAGCTTCAAGCCATGAAGAATTACAAGAAGGGTCACTTTGTCAACAAAGTATTTATTCTTCACTTTTTCATAGCTTTGATTTGTACTCTGTTTTGAACCTACCCTTTTGGTTGCCTCATTCCTCTGTTTTAACCAATCTTCCCATGGCCAAAAATCACCTCCATTCCAACAGTGCGCAATTTTCTCCATTTTGAAATGAGTGGAGGAGAAATGGCCACGTCGCTTAAAAAAGTGGGTGAAAAAAAGTAACTGCATAGTGTTGAACTTGTATTACATTTGTGTAATAATATGGTATATTTGTGTAACAATACAGTATAGGTTATATTAATACGGCATATTGTCCATTTAGCCCTTACCTATTGTATGAAATTGTCCATTTAACCCTTACTTTACATAATTTGTAAAGAATGAAAAGAAGAGAGAGAAAGAAGAAGGTCTGCGTGGGTCCGTGAAAAAGAAAGAAAGAATAAGGGATCCAAATCTGCTCTAGTTCACCTCTCACTGGACAGAATCTAGTGAGAATCCAAGGGCTGAGATCAAACCACCTCAACCCTTTTTGCCACATCAACCCGTAACACAATCTAACTCAGCACCCACTCAATAAAGTTATTGATTGTACTCTTTTTTTACCACATGTACTAATACAGCAAATCTCCAACATACACTTATACATTATATATATACAAATATTATACAAATCTTATATACAAAAATATATTATATACAAAAATATTTTATTCCATTCATTTTCAGTAAAATTACAAATCTCAATACAACATACACTTATACATAATATATATACAAATCTTAAATACAAAAGTATATCATAGTTTAGTATCCAAATATACGTATAATAATACATTATATACAAAAATATTTTTTTGCATTCATTTTCAGTAAAATTATAAATATCTATACAACATACAATTATACATTATATATATACAAAAATATATATACAAATTTCAGTTTAGTATCCAAATATATATATAACAATATATTATATACACAAATATTTTATTCCATTCCTTTTTAGTAAAATTGCAAATCTTAAACATTGATTATGTATCGGTAAAATTATAAATCTCCTTACAACATACAATTATATATTATATATATACAAAAATATATATACAAATTACAGTTTAGTATCCAAATATATGTATAACAATATATTATATACAAAAATATTTTATTCTATTCCTTTTTAGTAAAATTACAAATCTTAAACATTGATTATGTATCGGTACAGTTCAGTATCCAAATATAAATTTATTTAAGATTTTAGGGTTTTGAAATAATTGACTAATTATATAGATTTTAGAGTTGTGAAAGTTAATTTTTTTAACGTGTTAGGAAAATATGTTGATGTTATATGTAATTTATATATGATATATGTTTTAAAAAGTTGTGATAATAATAATTTGATCTCTCTAACTTTTGTATTGTATGCTATTACAAAAAGTAAGTGATGGAATATGTAAATCTTCCTACATATATGTTAAAAGTTTTTGTGATTCTTATTATTAATTTAGGAATTCTGAAATTGAGTTGTGGAAATTAATTTTTTTAACGTGTTAGGAAAATATATTGATATTCTATGCAATTCATATATGATACATGTTTTAAAAAATTGTGATAATAATAATTTGATATCTCCAACTTTTGTATTGTATGTTGTTACAAAAAGTAAGTGTTGGAATATGCAAATCTTCCTACATATATTTTGAAAGTATTTGTGATTTTTATTATTAATTTAGAAATTGTGAAATTGAGTTGTGGAAGTTAATTTATTTTAACGTGTTAGGAAAATATGTTGATACTATATGCAATTCATACATGATACATATTTTAAAAAGTTGTGATAATAATAATTTGATGTAGAAGTTAATTTTTCTTAACGTGTTAGGAAAATATGTTGATCCTATATGCAATTAATACATGATACATGTTTAAAAAAGGTTGTGGTAATAATAATTTGACTCCAACTTTTGTATTGTATGTTGTTACAAAAAATAGGTGATGGAATATGCAAATCTTCCTACATATATATTGAAAGTATTTGTGATACTTATTATTAATTTAGGAATTGTAAAATTGAGTTGTGGAAGTTAATTTTTTTAACGTGTTAGGAAAATATGTTGATGCAATATGCAATTCATACATGATGCATGTTTTAATAAGTTGTGAATATAATAAATTGATCTGTATGCTGTTACAAAAAGTAAGTGATAAACCCAGCCTTCAAAATTTTTGATTACCAATAATCATCATTGGATTACCGCCATATAAGATAAACTTTGATATATCATCATGAATAAAGTTACAAGAAATTCAAAATAATAACCTAATACTTATAATGATCGGAGTTTCAGCTTCGGACTGTCAGAAATATTTTGGGGGATCTCTCATTTTCAGAAATTTTAGCTTATCGCTGTAATATATGGTAATTTTTCGGACTAGATCTCTTTTTATTTACTATGCTTCTTCGATCTTCACCAAGAGAGTTTTTTACACATAAACATAAATAACAGAGTTTTGGGGAGAGTTTCTTCACCGGATTTCAAATTTCAGATAAATATTTCTTATTTAATATTTCAGACATAGTATATATAGCAGAGTTTTAAGGGAAGGTCAACTTTCCTTTTAGGGAGAAATTAAAAATTGAAACTCAAATACAATTTTGGAAAGATGCAATAATACGGTGCATAAAGAAGATGTATAAATTACGCCAAACTGGACTATCGCAGCTTCAGCTTCTCGCCGGACCGGATGATCGGAGCTTCAGCTTCTCACCGGAATGTATGGTGATTTTTCCAAACGGAGTTTCTTTAAACAGAGATCTTTTTATCTTCCACAAAACATCCTAAGTTCATCTTCTTCTTTTCCAAAATCTATGTCTGGTTCTTGGTTGCCTTCTTTCTCAGTTGTACTTGATCATGGAGTTTAGTTTGTATATTTCAGAAATGAGAGGGATATTTCAGATTGGCTATATATATGTATCAGTTTTGGCTCCAATCTCAACTTTCGTTTTGGGGGAATTTCAAATTGAAAGTGAAATACAACTACAAGTACAGGGTATACAAAACTTGGATGTACAAAGTATAAACTGCCATCAGTAAATACACATTTCACAAAAATACCACATCAGTCAGTTAACCCCTCACTTAACAATTTCCAGTGAAAAGCGAATGGAGAGGATTCATTTCCAGGAAGAAGGTCCTCTGTTTTTTTTTTTTTTTTTTTTTTTTTGAGAGGTAAATTTTCAATTTATATATAAATATTAACAAAGATACAAGCCCAAAGACAACAGGCCCAACTGTAGCTAACATAGAGTGCATCAGGACCAGCCCAATGACACAAAGCCTAACAACTGCAATTAAATGCACAATAAATGGCAGTTACATTCTACTAACTATTCCGGTGAACATGGAGAGAAATCCACATTTACTTGAAGCCTCAACATGTATGATCTGGTGGCTTAGCTGGTGGACGAGCAATTCCTTCAGAAAGATCCCATTCTGCTACAACTTTTTGCACATTGTGGGAGTCCTTTATGGTTAAGACCAGTAGCTTGGAACGGATGGCTTCCAAGGTGAGGTGAAGCACCGTGTTTGGAGAAAGGAATTTCTTCTGGAAGATTCTTCTATTCCTCTCAATCAAAATATTGTAGACCAAGGCTGCTAAACTCAGTTTTGAAACTGAATTGCTATGGAATTTAGAGATGCCCTTCCAGTAATGAGAGGTCCAAGTGATTACTTCCCTCTAAGAAGACGGCTGAATATGGAACCCACACCTTGCTTGTAGAAATGTCCACAAGGGCTTAGTGAATGAACATTTGAAGAATAAGTGGTCGTGGGATTCCAAATCATAGTTGCACAAAAACACAAGTAGTGGAATTAATGTGAGAAGTGCACCTTCTATCCAAAGTTGGCAACCTCTGCTGAATCGCAACCCATAAGGTGAAAGAATGCTTTGGAATAGATGGTTTAGACCATACCAGATGTGACCATGAGGTGGATGACAGATCCTTGTTGAGAAATTTCATAGTTGCTGCAATGGAGAAGGAGGTTGAAGAAGAAGGCTTCTAGATGAACTGATCATTTCTATGAAAGTTAGGTGCTGGCAGTGGTAATGATGGTTGCAGTAGTGGGAGGATATTGGTAATGGATTGTGGAAAGGCCCAGGATGAGTGTCTTAGAAATGAGCTGAGCTCAGTTTTAGAATTAAATCCTGAGTCTTGAATCTGCTGGGGAGAGACTAGTTGGTGAAGTGGACTTAAATCACACCAAGTGTCAAACCAAAAATTAGTTGAATTGCAGTCTCCAATTTCTACCTTAACAAGGGGCTTGATGCATTCTCTGAGGCTAAGAAGCTTCCTCCAGCTCTAAGAGCACTGACCAGGTACTTTAACTTCCCAAATGCTTCTTCCTTTTGGCAAATAAGTGTTGATCCAATGCACCCATAACATATCATTATAATTGATAATTCTCCAAAATTGCTTCATGATTGCAACCTCATTCCATGTAGAGAGATTAGGAAGACCTAAACCTCCAACTCTTTTTGGAAGACAGCACTTCTCCCAAGCTATTTTAGCTCCTGTAGTCTTGAGGGCAGGGTTAAACCAGAGAAAAACTCCAAAAATACTCTCCATTTCATGTATAATGCTTGCTGGTAAAATGAACTTGGAACTCTAATACATTTGTGTAGAGAATAGGATGGCTCTAATGAGTTGTAACTTGCCTGCAAATGAGAGGAATTTGCTGGTCCAGTGCCCAATTCTAGAAGTAATCCTATCAATGAGAGCTCTGCAGTCATTTGTCCTCAACATAGAAGAAACCAAATGCACCCCAAGATATCTTACAGTAAGTACACCTTTATCAAATCCTAGGAGTGACAATATGGCAACTTCAAGCTGAGGATTAATTCCAGAAAGGAAAACTTGAGATTTGTTCTGATTAATGTGGAGACCTGATAGGTTAGAGAAAGTATCAATGGCATACTTGAAAGTTTGCAAAGAGTCAAGACTGCCATGTGAGAATAACATAAGGTCATCTGCAAAAATTAAGTGGGTTAGGGCAATGTCTTTACATCTCCAATGGAATTTGAATGGCATTTCAGTTATGGATTTAGTGACAATGAGATAGAAGACCTGCATCACAATCACAGAGAGGAAAGGGGATAAAGGGTCCCCTTGCCTCAGCCATTTGATTCCCTTAAAGTAGCCATTGAATTCTCCATTTACAGAAATGGTGAAGGAAGGTGTGGAAACATATGATTTGATCCAACTTATGAAGATATCAGGAAATCGAAATAGCTTAAGGGAATCAAACAGATAATCCCAACACACAGAATCAAAAGCCTTTTGAATGTCAATCTTGAGAGCATATCTAGGAGAGGGAGAGAACCTATGGTAACCATTGAGGAGCTCTTGGGCTAAAAGTATACTATCATCAATTTGTCTGCCATGAATGAAAGAAGATTGAGCATTCCCAATAATGTGTGGCAATGTAGGCTTAAGTTTAGAGGCAAGGAGTTTAGAGATGCACTTGTAAATTGTAGAACAATAGGAAATAGGTCTGTAATGGTTGAGGGAAGATAGGTTGGGTATCTTAGGAACCAGGGATTTGTAGGTTGAATTGACTTCCCTGTTAGAAAGAACTCTTTAATGGCTGAAGTAACATCAGAGCCAACAATAGGCCAAACCTTTTTGAAGAAAAAGGCATTGTAACCATCAGGATCAGGGGCCTCGTCACTGTTCAAGGAGAACATACACTGTATTTCTTCATCAGTTGGAATTGCACATAGAGATGGTAGGAAGTTAGGAGACAATGTCTTTTGTTGCCTTTTTTGTAGTTAAAGAAAATCGCAACCTCTCTTGTTTACTTTGCAACTGGAGGTCATCCTAAATTTGATATTAAATTTACATGTCAGGTTGTGTCAGCGCATTATGATTTTATCACAACAAAACTGATGAGGTGACATCTGTATTATTGCTGACGTGGACTTGCAAGGATTAGGATAGAAGGAATCTCAGTTTTATAAAGTAGGCGTGGCTGTACCATAGTGCTACTATTATTTTAACATATATTCCAGAAATTTTCACGCGTTTCTTACAGGGATAGTTTGGTAAATACGGAAAGTGAAATCTGTCAACAAGGAAGAACCAGTGGGCAGCTTGTTGTCACCATCAAGCCACCGCGTTTAGAAGTCTCTAGAAAATGGAAGCTTCAGACCTATAAAAGCCGCTCTCATTCAAAAGCCTCCGTCTCATCTCATCTTTCTGTCTCTAGACTCGTATTCTCTCTCTCTCTCTAAAAGTATACTATTATTTATATCGATACAGAGAATCGAAGGAGGCGAATCGGAGAATTCGTTCGGAGATTCGATCGTGTCGAGATTGTTCTGATCTCTCTTGTTTTTGGATCAGCGAGTGATTGAAAGTTCGTTATTCTGTGAATTGGATATTTTGTTAATTTATTACGCATTTTTTTTAGTGCTTTCTCGCGTTTTTTATTTTCTTAATTCTATTGCAATATAGGTAGTGAAGATTTATTTTTAATTCTCTCTATGTGTGTGTGATGATATGAAAGTTATTAGGGAATTAAGATTTGTAGTTGAAAGTAGGGTCTGTTTGGTTGATGAGATTGAGAAGGAGAGTCTAGGTCTTTATTTGATTTATTACTTCTCATATTTCATTCTCGGTGTTTTTTTTTCTTCTTCCTATGGCTTCTCGAGAATCAAACGGGATATTGGGCTACATTTGGTACCCAAAAAAAATTGATATAGTGATTAAGAAATCCAACCAAGTTAGATAGTGGGTTTAATTCTCCCAAGAGAATTGTGGGTGTTATTTGCTAAGAAATTATTTTAGCAGTTTGAGGAACTTTTTTTTTTTCTTTCTCTCATTCCATTGAGGATAAAATGCAGTATTTTTATTTCTTTAGATTGCTATATACTTAGAAACTGTATTATTGTCATATTGTATGTGTTTTTGTGTTTGACTTGATTGAAATCTAGTAAATCTAGCATTTATCATGTCATAAGATGTTAATTTGTCACTGCTTGGTATAAATTCGTTGTTCTGTTGATTTTTTTTATATATATACATTTAGTAATATTTTGTTTACAACCTTATGTATCCCGAAACTGTATTCCTGTTTGTGTGTGTTCATCTCAATTTGAGTTTGTAAAATTCCGGTAAATTTAGTGTTTATCTTTTTTTACTTAATTCTTTGGATGTTATCGTTGCAGTGTTAAAAGGAAATTGTAGAAAGCATTTATTCGAAATTACATTCTTTTGTTTGGATTAGTTAACATTTGATAGATAAAATAATTATGGCTAATGGTGTATTTGATTGAATTCATAAGATAGAGAATAAGCTGCACTTAGGAAATACGTTTGAAGTTTGTGTCATAGAATCATAGTTTGTGGTCCAACTACAATTCGCGCCTTGCATTTATAATAGAAATTTTGACTTGACATTATCTCTTTGGCATAAGAAGTTTTATAAATAAGACTAAGAGGCCCCGTTAAGATTTGATATCTTCTTTCTTGTAAGAATGTGTCATGCATGATGATAAATGCTTGTAACTATCATATTGCTTTGTTAGTTCTTCTGATTGAGTTGGATGAGGCAATAAATTCGAATGTGTGGACCACGTAATGGCTAAGCTCATCAACAACTGAACTTGAAGGACACGTGAATTTGATTTAGAAAAATCTTAGACTATGATTATTTCTAATCATTACTGATGGTTAATTAGTATATACTCTGGGAAGAGAATTTGCGGTAACCTTGTTACCCATGGACTTTCCAAGTATTAGCAAATTGACGATGATTAATTTGATTTAGGCACCCCACTTAGAAGTAGATGGGGGTTGAATGCATTTTGTTGGGTAGCGAAGTTTGTTTCATTCTTATGTCATTCCTTTTTAAAGTTGTTGTGCCCTGCATCGGGATATTCGTAGCTGGTCTGTCCATCTTGGGCTGCAGGTATTCAATTGACCAACTAGACCTAGGTAGGTTCTGCGCGTCCTTCTTCATATGAGGGGATTTTTGTCTGTGCAAGAGGTGAATTTGCAGGCACTAATAAAGATGCTCGTTTCTATTTTGTTCTGTAAACCGTGATACCTTATTTGAAATACTATGATGTGTCTACTATCCGCCTTAGTTTCCCAAGGTCAACTCAATCAAACTAAGCTTTATCTAAACATAAACCACGTGGAAGGTTAGGTTATTGTTGCATTAACGATGTCCTTGGCTGTAGTAGCGATGCAGGCACCAGAACGTCTTAGCCTCTCAATGTTCAAAAAGTTGGTTCCTTGTGAAATTAAAGGTCTAAGATGCAGAAGCTGGAGCTATTGACCTGCTTAGCCAAAGTCCTTCTTCCCATACATAATCCCCAACTCCTTGCAAATCCAAAATCATCAAAACCCATATTAATCAAAATAAGAGTTACAGGAGACAAACTACAGTAATCTGAGGATGGATTTTGTCTCTGGGAACTAAAGGACTGGGTTTATGGAATGTCCTTACTTTTTGTCAAGCAGGCTATGAAGTTGTCACTTTCTCTGTCCTAAATCCAACCAGTTTAGATAACAAGAGTGTGTGAAGGTCAAATGAGCTAGAGTTTTCTATCGAAGAGAAGCCCATGGAGTTTTCATGATAACAGAAGTTGTTTTGGGCAAGTCTCGGTTATTGAAGACTTGTTGCAGAATCGCATATTGAGGTAGGCTTGTCGTTGATGGACAATCAACATAACTCATCCCTGCAACCTCTTGCACTGTTTCCCCTATATTTTCTTATCACTCTTTAGAGTGCATTTGATTTTGTGATTTATTGCTTCTCCCATAGGTTGGGGCGTCTGTTGGTGGTGCCCAATTTAGATGGATTTGGACTTCTTCAAGAATCGAGTGATCAGTCAATGGTTACTATCCACAGCTGGAGGCTTTGGAGTTCCTCAGTGCTGCATTTTAGTTATTATTTGGGATTCTTATAGATCTACTTGTTTGATGACTCCTTCTCTTGTTGCTGATTGGAGCTGTTCAACCCTAGTTGGATTATGTTGTTGCTGATTTCAATTGGTCTGCTGCAGTTTGCGAGAAAGCAACATTTATGGAGTGTTTGCCTGCTTGGGTGGGCGACTAAATAAATTTAAGTTTTAGAGCCCTTGCTAAACTTTTTCCGAAATGCAGGTGCTTCTCATAGCCAGCTGTTAGATAGTTTTAGTTTCATCGAGAAGATTTCAATGGTGGAGCTAGCAGTTGATCATTCTGAGGTGTTTCACTTTGAGCCCAAAAACCTGCAACACAAAACTAGTGAAGAGCATAACACAGAGGTCGCTATGTCAGACTCTCAGCACTCTCTCAGAGAATTCATGTCAACAGAAGCGACATATCTTCCAAATGCCATTGGCACAGAATCGCTGGATAAAGGATGCATGCAGTATGGGTATTGTACTTGCTCATGTTCCTCCCAAGTTTAAAACTGGATCTTTATGATTCCTTTGTTAACACTATTTTCTTCATTTGACAGGTGTACTCATTATCGACGAAGGTGTCGCATTAGAGCTCCGTGTTGCAACGAAATTTTTGATTGTCGTCATTGTCATAATGAGGCAAAGGTATGTTTATACTGATCTAATGTCTTTGTTTCTTATGTTCGTTTATATTATTTGGTTGTTGTAGGAAATAATTATGGAGATTTGCTTAATAGTAGTAACTGTATGCACCTGCAAATAAAACTTCTTTATTGGAAATTGAAGCAATATTATTTGCTAATAAGTGATGGAAGATATATTGCATTTGAGATTATTAATTATAAGGCAATCAAATTGAAATATGAATGCCTAACCGAACTGTCAAATCACTATTAGCTTGACTGGAGGCTTAAGCACAATGTAGAATGCTAGTGTATAAGTGGGTTACTCATGTTTAGTCTAGACAAGGAAATACAAATAAGTAACTAGTGTAACAGAAATCATCATCTATCTTGACATTAAAATAGTTGGTTATTCATGTTTTTAGTCTAGATGAGGAAACAAAAATAAGTTCCTAGTGTAATAGAAATCATCAACTATCTTGACATTAAAATTTCAGTTTTTTTTTTTTTTTTTTCAAATGGTTTTATCCAGCATTTGTTTTGCTGGAAAATCAATTGACCTAATACGTAGACCGGCCAGATCATGCAGGCTTTGTTACATGGTTTTTATTAAATTATATGGTAGCAGATACATAAGCAAACCTGTTTTAGATGGGTACTCTACAAAAAAAATAATAAGAATAAAATAAATAAATAAATAAATAGTCATGATTTGAGATTATTTGTATGTTTTGAAAATGACTTAGGAAGTAATTGCATTTTTTTTTTTTTTCCTGAATGAAAGTAATTGTAAATTAGCTTATGATGAATTGTGAGTCTCCTGATTTTGATTATTGATCATTTTGAAGTTGAGTATTATTGCATGTTATTATGAAGTTGTGGTTCTGTATTCCAATATTTATGTTTCAGTGTTGCCTTGACATGTGGTTGTTATGAGGACTCTAAAATGTTACTTACATGTTTACATATTGATTTGCAGAACAATATAAATGTTGATCAGAAACTTAGACATGACGTTCCACGCCATCAAGTGCGACAGGTAAAAGCCCTTTCACGAATAACCAATATTCCCCTCCACCCATTGAGTGCCTAGAGCTGGTTGCTTTATTTTTTTCCCCTCATAAAGCTTGTTTAAGCATTTGTTTTAACTGTGGGAGTATTTCCCCCCTTTTCAGGTCATATGTTCACTCTGTGGTACTGAACAAGAGGTGAGTCTTGATTGGATTGATGCTGCATTTCTATCTTTGTCATGAGGATAAGAGTGTATAAACCTGAACAACATGTAGCTTCCTAGTGGGTGATTGGATTGATTGGTTTCGTTAGGATAGATGCTACAAAAATGAAGTTGGAACTGTACTGTTAGCTTTGGTAGTTTCTTTATCTTATGTAACTAAGTTCTCTGACATTATTTTACTGTGTCATGTTTGCCGCTGCAATCACACAGGTTCACCAAGTTTGTATCAACTGTGGTGTATGTATGGGAAAATACTTCTGCGAGACTTGTAAGCTGTTCGATGACGATGTGAGTATATAGCACTTCTCCTATGCATGTTGTTCTTTTGTTGTTACCACACACCAATGTTTACCAGACAATATGAACTTTGACATTGATGTTGGTGTCTAAACCGGATTTTGGTGTCCTTACTACATGTGTGCACGCATGAACATGCACAAAGTAGCATGTTGTTTTAGTTCTTTATGCCTTCAATTGTTAGTATTAGATGTTTGCTGATCTCATTATCTTGTTCTTCTATTTTGCAGACATCGAAAAGCCAGTACCATTGTAATGGGTGTGGTATTTGCAGGTATGTTCATCTTGCAGTTTGATTTGCATTTCTTGGTGTTAGGAACAACTTGAACATGCTGCTGTACACTTGATTAAATTTTATCAAGAATGTCTCTTTTACTTTAAAATCTGTCTGGCGATGTAGTATTGTGTGTATGTATATTCATGTCGAATATCAACTCACTTGCGTGTGCTTTCATTACAGAATTGGCGGGCGAGAGAACTTCTTTCATTGCTACAAATGTCGTAAGTCACGATTGTTGTTCTTTTGTTCTCTCATTTCCTTGCTGCTGTAGCATCCTATTTGTGAGCTTGGACAGCTTGAATTGATATTGTGTTTAAAGTTTATCCTTACTGTATCCTGGGTATACAATTCAGGATGCTGCTACTCAGTTCATTTGAAGAACTGTCATCCCTGCGTGGAAGGAGCAATGCACCATGACTGCCCTGTTTGTTTTGAGGTATAGCACTATCATCTCTCCTACTAACTTGATTTTCCTTCGTATAATAGTTTCTATCTCGAATATTTTGGCGACACCTTGCACGTTTTAACTGATTTGAACTCTGGTTGGTTGCAGTATCTATTTGAGTCAAGAAATGATGTTACTATTATGCCTTGCGGGCACACGATTCATAAGAACTGCTTGAAGGAGATGCAGGAACACTTCCAGTGAGTATTAAAAAAAAAAAAAAGGGATTCTGATCCCTCTTATTTTGGTTTCCTTCTCACCTGTTTGTTTGACAGATATGCTTGCCCTCTCTGCTCCAAGTCAGTCTGTGATATGTCAAAGGTATGGGAGAAATTTGACGTGGAGATTGCAGCTACACCCATGCCAGAACCTTACCAAAACAAAAAGGTCTCTCTCTCTCTCCCTCACACACACACATTTGACCACATCCATGCATGTTCACACACGCACACATGTAACAAAAACAAGTGCGTGGTAACGGGTCATTGGTAGTCATCATGTTAGAACTATATTTGGGTACATTTGAAATGTAATACGTTCCTCCTCAAAGTGGAGAAAACTGATGGTAATATGATTACAGGTTTGCATCCTCTGCAATGACTGCGGAAATACATCAGAAGTGCGGTACCATGTTGTGGCTCAGAAATGTCCCAACTGTCGATCATACAACACCCGACAAACAAGATGAAGTTGCAGTGGCTGTTTAATTGGCAATGACAGATGACGATAAATGCACTATCATGCATCATGGAATTACCGTTCATTAATTCTTTCTGGCTTCCAAGCCTCATTAACGGGGAATTTGTGGTCCTGCATCTTATGCTGTCAGAGGAATGCCCTGCATCTTGTGCTGTCGGAGCCTTGGACCTTCGATTCTCTTGCATCAATTAGTTCCTGTTTGTTCCTTCTGGTCTTTTTCATTGATGTTGTCTTCTAAGCTCCACCATGTAGGGTGGTTGAGCTCGTGACTGCACTTTCTGCCTGTGCTCACGCGAAAAATGACATGTTAGGCAGATCCATCCATGGCTTAGTTGTGAAATATGGAATTACCGTAGATGGGTTTCTGGGGAATGCTTTGATAGACTTGTATGCAAAATGTGAACAGATAGATAAAGCTCACACAATCTTTCAGCAGTTGCACTACAAGAGTGTCGTTTTGTGGAATACGTTGTTGGATGGGTACTTAAGTCTGCAAAAGCAAAAGCTAAAACCAACACACCCCAAAAAAAAACACATACTAGCCTGCCTACCGTGGCTTTATCAAAAGCTAATGCCCTTGTACAACTATGATTAGAAAGCTGCAGCATGTGTTGAATTCACCAAAATATCCCCTCTTTTCTCCCCACTGTATAAGCCTGTGTTTGCACGAATGATCAGTGCATGAGGTGGGAATCTTCACAAAGCTTTACTAAGTCCTCAACATTTCCCTCCAAATTTTGCTTTTAGCACATATTCCACAAAATTCCCTCTATACCCACTGAGAATCAAGCTTCAACAATGGATTTAATCATGGCTGAGAAGCTTCAAGCCATGAAGAATTACAAGAAGGGCCAGTTTGTCAGAAAGGTACTCATTCTTCACTTTTTCACAGCTTTGATTTGTACGTACCTACTCTTTTTGGTTCCCTCAAGTGAGAATTCTTATAAACGATTTTGTCTTTGTTTCTATACCAAATTTTAAGTCATTCTTGTTCAACCCCAAGTGCTTGTTCATAGTAGGCAATGCCATTGTTGTCATCCTCGTCGCAGAATCAAAGCTCACATCTGGTTCACACTCGTCTTCAGCCACTAACATCTACGAGGAGTATGTAGAGAGGAGCTGGAGTCTTCAGGGAGCTGCCTCCAACATAAAGAGAAGTAAGAGGAACGAAAAGAGGACATAGGTTTAACTCAAGAGAGTAGTACTGTTAACAAGATTGAAGAAGAAGTTAGAGCTGTGGTATACATAGAGGAAGAAAAAAGAGAAACGGGGGATAAAAAAGATTGTGATAATGATTGTGCTGATGCTGATGATCATAAGGAGGAGGTGGAAGAGGAGAAAATTGAGGAAGAAGAGCCCGGTTTACCTATTACGGAAGAGTTGAAGAATTTATTGCAAGGGTAAACAGACAAGGGTGGCTTGAAGAGAAAGTACTATTAGTTTGTGGTAAAACATCACAATGAATTAAGATATTGGATTTAGGACTAGGAAGAAGGATGATCACCAACACTGCAAATGCATAACAAGCTTAGTATGTACTACCTACAAACATTGAAACCAATTTTAATTTGTACTTAGAATCAAGGCGGAGCCAGGATTTTAGTTTAGGAGGCAAAGTGTTAAAGAAAAAAAAAATTATTTAAAGGAGTAGATGGAAAAAAAAAAATTAAGAAAAAGGGAAAAAAAGTAGGAAAAATGACAACTTAAAAAGGAAAAAATTAAAATTTAATTTAACAAGGAAAATTGAACTGCTCATATGTTTGTTTACCGGGAAATTGCTTGAATTGCCGTTGTTCATTCCTTAGCATGGAAGACATTGGAAAACTGCCACCCTCAAAAAGCAACGAAGTGGTGAGCCTGCTCTAAGGGTGCACATGGGACTCTTTAAAACTATCAAATTGGATCTAACAAAAATAATTGTAGTTCTAGTGGTAGATGAAGGGTTTAAGTCCTCTTAAATGACAAAAATTTAATTGAGTCTACTAAAGTGATAACATGGTATTATTAATTTATTAAATAGTGTTATATAATGATAAGACTTAAAGTAATTTTACTGATGTGACATGATATAATTGATTGATAACACAAATAATGAAGTATTAAAGGTTTTTTTTTTCATACAGACAAACAAACGAGTTTATAAGTAGAATTCTCATTTATGTAAAAACCAAGTAAAACGGTAAAAATATGTTTATTGTAACAATAATCATACTTGTGAGAATAACCGTACTTGGTGTGTTTTATGTTAGTGGAGATGATATACATAGTCAAATTAAATGTTATCATCATCATGCCTGCTCAGTTCAATGTGTCCAACCCTCCTTATCGTGCACCGCGAAATACAGGATAACCATAAAGTTTGTTAGCTAGTTTTATAACGACCCTTCCTGACTTTTTTGTTATTTTATTTTTGACCCAACCTCTCCACTCGGTTGCTTTTGGGTGTTGGCAGTTTTCCAATCTCTTCCTTCCATGCTAAGGAAGGAATAGCAGCAATTCAACGTTCAAAAAACCACTCTCTTTTACTGAAAACAGCTTCCAAGTTTCCCGGGAAACGAGCACACGAATTTTGTGTCATAAATTCATAATTTTAATTACAGTTAATTTTAGTAAAAGAACCTTTTGAAAATTACAATCATTATAAACGTTTGTTTGGTTTACAACTCAACCATTATGCGCACATGTTGTCAGAATTCTAACATTGGGTGAAATAACTTAAATATCATTTAACTTTGTTAAAAGAATTCTTTAACAATAAAAAAATTTAATAAAAAAATTAAAATATCTCTAAATATTTTATAAATTTACAATTTTATATATATATATTGTGTACATTTCAATCTCTGGTCCAATATTGCCTAACGGACTCGACTTTGACCAAACCAAGAACTTTTTGAATTTTCAATATGGGTTTTCTAGTTTTGTTTTAAAGCTTTTGATTATATTTTGAATCCCTAAATATAATTATACAGCCAAGACCATAAAACAGAAAATTGAACAAAATTATGTTGCTAATTGAAGCAATTAATCACTTATGGATTTCTGTTTTAGGGTTCTATACTTTGGTTGCACTTATATTATGAAAATGAATGAAACAAGCATTTGGGTCCATGGATTGTGGCGAGACATGTAGTTCACCACCGCCGCTATTCCCACCTCCACCATCCCCACCCTCATAACCACCGCACCACTGTGTATTCCGGCAAATGAACCACTACTGTCTCCACCCCCAAACCACCATCACAAATGTATTCTGGTGAACGAACCGCCAACAACACCACTGCAATCCCGACCCCACAACTACCACCTACAGGATATTCAAGCGAATGAACTACCACCACCACCACCAAAACCCCATAGCCGGCGGTGCCTTGGTGGTATTCCGGCATAGGCTGCGATACTAGTCTCACCATGGTGGCAACGGCGGCGAGATCACTGCATTGCAGCAGCTGCGTTGGTCTTGGCATGGCAGCATGGAGTTCTATACCTCACCTAAAGCCCCGTACGAGGACTTTTAAAGTGGGATTTAATTAATTGTTTCTCACAACTAGATTTACTGATCATAGCTATGGAGAATACTTTTACTGCGCAAACCCAATTTTTTTCTCTCTTCTGTTTTTTTTTTTTGGCTTGGAGATGAGTGGCGGCGGCGGCGGCGGCCGCGAAAGACGCTGAACTATGAAAGAGAGGAATGAGTAGATAAAAGTAATTAATGAGTACAATTTCGTATTTTCATGAAGAGTAATAATATTTGTATCGATTACTTACACAGACTTGTTAGGCCTATTATATTTGATTGTTCAATGCATGTCAAATATGAAAAATGAGACCCTCCACTTCCTTATCAAATATATTAATGACCAATCATATATAGTAGGCCTAACAATTCTGTCTAAGTAATCGTGCAAATATCATTACTTTAAAATAAAAAGGCATTAAAAAATTAGAGTATTCTTTTTTTTCTAGTTGGTTGGTACTCACACTTTTTAAACGGTCTTAGTGACGGAAAAATAAAATTGAATTTAAATGATAATAATTTTGGAATGGTGTACTTAAGTGATTAATTTTCAAAATTAACACTTCTAATTAATTATATTATTGCTCTGAATAAATACACTCTAGGAAGAAGTTAGTTCATTATATATACAAATATAAATAAAATATAAAAGAAAAAGGGTATGCCAGTGAGATAATAAAAATCATAGAATTACCATTAAATTGATAGCATGTCATATTGAACTGATGACATAACATAGGTCTATATATGTTGATATCTTACAAATGAGGTAGCAAATAGCATTGCAACCGTTTTCCCTTTGATCCTCTGCTAAGTGATGGATCAATGTTGATACAATAAGAAGATGAATCTATTAAAAAAAACAAATTAAGAGACTTTAACACTGAGCTAGTTATTGGGTAATCTACTGTTATAACATTAATCTCTACAGAGTTGGTAAGTACAAGTTATAATTAATTGGTCTCAATGCAGGTTTAATTTGTGATCATCCTTCTTCCTAGCCCAATCTAACATCTTCATTCTCATGTTTTAACCATAAACTAATAGACCTTTCTCTTCAAGCCGCCTTTGTCTGTTTACCTTTGCAATAAACTCTTCAACTCTTTTGTTCAACTCTTCGGTAGGTAAACCGGGCTCTTCTTCCTCAAATTTCTCCTCTTCCACCTCCTCCTTATGATCATTATCATCAGCAGCAGCAGAATCGTTATCAGCATCTTTTTTACCCCCTGTTTCTCTTTTTTCTTCCTCTATGTATACCACAGCTTTAACTTCTTCTTCAATCTTGTTCACAGTACTACTACTACTCTCTTGAGTTAAACCTATGTCCTCTTTTCGTTCCTCTTTATTCTCTTTATGCTTGGAGGCAGCTCCCTGAAGACTCTGGCTCCTCTCTACATACTCATCGTAGATGTTAGTGGCCGAAGATGAGTGTGAACCAGATGCGAGCTTTGATTCTACGACCAGGATGACAACAATGGCATTGCCTACTATGAACAAGCACTTGGGGTTGAACAAGAATGACTTGAAATTTGGGATAGAAACAAAGACAAAATCGTTTATAAGAATTTTCACTTGGGGGAACCAAAAAGGGTAGGTACAAAACAGAGTACAAATCAAAGCTGTGAAAAAGTGAAGAATGAGTTTGTTGACAAACTGGTCCTTCTTGTAATTCTTCATGGCTTGAAGCTTCTCTGCCATGATTAATTCCATTGTTGAAGGTTTTAGAGAGAATTGGGTAAAATATGTGTTAAAAGTAAATTTTGGAGGGAAATGTTGAGGAGTTGGTGAAGCTTGGTGAAGATTCCCACTTCATGCACTGATCATAACTGCAAACACAGGCTTATATATAGTGGGGAAAAAAGGGGATATTTTGGTCAGTTGAACACATGCTGCTGCTTTCTAATTATATATGTATAAGGGCATTAGCTTTTTTGAAAAGCCATGGTAGGCAGGTTGGTATGTGTTTTTTTGGGTGTTTTGGTTTTGGCTTGCTTTTGCTTTCCACTATTCCTACAACTGGTTTTGAACGTGTCAAGAAACATTTTGTGAAGTGGTCCATCTTATTTGTGACAACAAAATATAGTCCTTGGATGCAAATTAATGAATTATTGTGACAATGAGAGATTGAGAGGTGAAAAGCAGTGTAGATAAGCAACCAAAACAATGATTAAAAAAAAGGGCAGTGTATGATATTTTTATAATTTCATCGCCATTCATGTCTTTGTTTTATATGAATAAAGTCGGGTCATGTTAATTTTTTTTTTTTTTCACCCTTTTTTTTAATTCACCATCTCTTCTCTTAAATTTAATTTTTTAAATCATTACTTGGCAAATACTCCCTCCATTCCATAATAGTAGTTCATTTTTTTCTTTTTACATGTCCCAAATTAGTTGTCCTCTTTAAAAAGTCAAAACATCTTTTCTTTATATTTAAATTAAAAAGGATAATTTGATAATTTTAAAAGGGGACAATACATTAATTACATGTTCCCTTAAAAATTCTAATTTTTAAATATAGACATCTATTGTGGGACGGAGATAGTAACTTTCGAGAGCATTGTGGTGGGACTCACAACTCCCTCCTCTTTTCCTCTCAACTGAGTGATGTGAGATATATATTTTGTAATTGACTTATTTCGTTGTCAAAACAAGTCCGATCGAATTGTAATTTTTCGGTTCAACAATTTTAAAGATTAAAGATTGGATGCGGATTTGAAGAAGGAAGTCAAGTGTTCATTACTACACTATGAGATAATGAGAAAGATGCTCGTTTTAAGAAGGTTGAGAGGTAGTGAGAACAGTTAGGAAGGTTTCTGAACGATTCGAAACGAGTATAATTGCAAATTTTCAAGACTGCCCATCTTGAACAGGTTCAAGAATCCATGGGATTTAGTACTGTCCATCTTGAACCAATTCAAGTTGGCTGAACCGGTTCAAGGTCTTCTAGCAACACTTGGATTTTAGTTTCCTTTTTGTTGAAAGTTTCCTTTTCGATTCCAACTTTCTTACAAGTCCTATGCACGAAATTTATCATATTTTCTAAATGATTAAGGCTTTCAAAACTCTATATAAACCATGTCATATACATTGGTTTATTCACAGCTTTAGGGAAAATCAATACTATATTTTGACGAAGCCTTTAGAGAGAGAAAAATTCAGAAAATCAAATCTGATTATTCTGAATTTATTTTTGAGAGCACACATATATATTCATGAGTGATTTAGTTGTAGTGTTTTTTATGTCATCAGAGTTATTCCAGATGATTAGCAGGATTTGATTCTTCTACAATCAAGTTCAGATCTTGAAGAACAGAAGTAAACGCAATCACACTTTGAAAAGGTTGGAGCATTCGAGTGCTGTCTGATCTACCTGCTACTCTTCTACAAGTATCAAGTGTAAATCTGAGGTCAAGTTGCTGTTGGACGGAAAGTCACAAAGCCAAAGGATAGTCAGCGATTGGTATGGTGTAGAACAATAGGGTGTAAGTCAGAGTCAAAGTTCGGTATATTTTGTTTCAAATATAGTGGATTGGTTTACTTTGGACTGCATAATCCACGAGATTTTTTCCATACAAATAGTTGACGTATTTTATCAACTGTGATTTTATCGCTAAAATTCTGGTGCAATCTCTCTCTAACTCTAACTTGTTTTATTTTTTATATATTTGTGATTGTGAATGTACATTTAAATTGGTCATATAATTTAATTAATCATAAATTAAACAAGTTAACCTAATAATCTAAGTCATTAAAGAAATTAATCATAATTAACATCAACGGACGGTTTTTGCACCCCTCCTAACTCTTGTTCTCACACCAGATTGAACATTTGTCAAAAGCAAGCATTACGAAAAGAATATATATATATATATAATAAAGCTGACAAAATTTGATGTCATTTTCAAGGTTTAGGTGTGGTAAGTTGTGCTTGGTTTTTAAACAATTAATTAAGGTAATGATATCATCTCCCTGTCGAAGTAAAACAGAATATTTTCTCTCTGCTTGCCTTCGCTACAAATCAATTGCTTTTACCGTCCATTCGATTTGAATCTGTGTGATATTCCATATTTGCCTCTGCTTTTCCAGCATTTTTATATATATATATTTTTGGAGTGTCCACTGGGAAAGAGAAATAACAACAAAAATGTGAACAAAATGGCATATTCTTTTCTTTTTTTTTCCCTATAAATATGACGCATGCATGACTTTTGGCTGTATAATTGAAGTGGTAGTGGCACGTGTGTTGAATGGAAGAAAAAGAAACTACTGTAGGAGAGATACTCATGACATCAAGGGGGTGCTAATTAGGTCATCAATGTCTACCACAAATCCAATTTAATATCAACAAAGTGTTATTACAAAACATGGCTAAATCAAGAACATAATCAAATCATAATAAATAAATCTTGTTCACAAAATAAATTTACTTAATCCGGTATATAATTTATATATACGATCGATGAAGATCGGCATATTTTTTTTTTATTTTGTGAAGAAATGGAAGATTACAATTTCTCAAAGCTAACCTCCAACCATTTGTGTCTCTCACTCTCTATTTCAACTTTAAGTGCCCCTGCAAAACAAACCCTAGCACCCTCTGATATCTTGAGGTACAACAAAGAGTAGAACTGAGTTTATGACCCACGAGTTAAAACGGGTCAAAAAATTATATCGGATCTATTTTTTTTTTTTTTTTTGTGAAGAAAATGGAAGATTACAATTTCTCAAAGCTAACCTCCAAACATTTGTGTCTCTCACTCTCTATTTCAACTTTAAGTGCCCCTGCAAAACAAACCCTAGCACCCTCTGATATCTTGAGGTACAACAAAGAGTAGAACTGTGTTTATGACCCACGAGTTAAAACGGGTCCAAAAATTATATCGGATCTAAATTTTTTTTTTTTTTTTTTTTTTTTTCGGACTAAAACAAAATTCGGATCACAACTTGACACAAAACTGATTTTGAAGTAATAAAAGATTTGTGACTTGCTCACAAATTCACAATTATCTTCCAAATACATAAATATATGTATATAAGCATGAAAATGGTTGAGGTAAAAGAAGATTTAAAGTAACTTTTGGAGTGAAGCATGCGTAGAGGGGTTGTTTGAGTGGTATATTTTGTGAAGGTTGTGCATGGCACTGGCACTCTGTTTTTCATGTTACTATGAGTACCTTTTAATTGAAAAGTTTCCTTCATTCCCCAACTATCATCTATTATTGTACTCTTTTTATTCTATGAATGCAATGGTTCAATGTATGGGAATTTTATATATATATATATATATAATAAATATGTATAGAGAGAAAGAGAGCATTTGTGAAAAAAAGTTGATGAAAAAGAGAGTGATTTACAATTGTTTGAAGGTGATAAGTGAAGCTTCAAAGAAGGGGTACAAAAAGGGCGGTCACTTGGAAAAGCTATGCTTTCTTCAATTTGTTAATTTCCTATAATTTGTGGTAAGTGCTTTAAGAGCATGCTTCAATGTCCTATTTGAATAAGAAAGTGAGAAATACTAAATTCCTTATTCTGATCTTGGGCGTTAAGTTATATAATTTTTCTCAACCGGTATTATTCTTATATTTCGAACACTCTCTCGCTCTCACTCCCGCACTTGTTTCTGTGTGAATTAGCTTGAGCCTTGAAATCCTTCCATAGTCGCGATAAAGACATTTTTTAATACGAAAGTGAAATGTCATATTTTCATTCCACTTCAAATTTTAAAAAAAAAATAATAAAACAAAATAATAAATGATTCTTTAAAAGTGGGTGGTAAGATTACGTTTTTTGAAATATTTGTAAGTTATGAGAGTAATTTTGAAACATAATTATGTCATTTGTTTTTCTGAAAGAAAAAAAGAAGAAGAAGAAGAATATAATAGAGTATAATAATATGAATTATATTAGGATGAAAAAATAAATAAATATTAGGATGGAGACACCACCTACAAGAAGGAATTACATTATATAATTATATTACAAGTAAAAATAACTGAGTGTACACATTAAATGGAAGGGTTTTTCCCACGTACAAAAATCCAAGGTAACAGTTAACGCTTTGGGCATGAATAAACAATATTTGTTGAAGATAGATATATATATATATTCAGCAAGTTAAAGTTTATTAAAAGAAAAACAACCCTCTAATATAATACAAGGTGCATACCATACCCTAGGAAAACTGGAAAATAACATAACTAAAAGCCCAACATAAAAACACAGGTGAAAAACCAAAAACACAAGTTTTGAAAAGAGAACAAAGCCCAATATTTCTTAGACCTGAATCCCAGAAAATTAAGGTCCACACAACTTCGAGCCCAATATGGGCTTCAAACAACAAATTGATGCAAAATAACAGCACTGAATGCTTTATAGGACTAATCCCTAATTAATACTTTAAAAAACAAAAACAAAAACAAAAACAAAAACAAAAAAAAAAAAACAAAAACAAATCAATGTCAAAAACTCATAAAAAATAAACATTTCATTTTTTTCATCTTTTTGAAAATGAATATTAGTTAATTAAATAAGTAAATTCCCATAAGCACCTGTACAGTAGTAACTTGTAGACAACAGAATACTCACTCAACAATCAAAATCCAGGCTAATTCACAAGCTAAGTATCAACTTTCATTTGACAGAGACAAAAAAAAGAAGCCCATGTAAATTTAAACTACTTGATAGCAACAACTACAATTTTCAGTTCTTTAAATTTCTTCTCATCTCAACAGGTCAAATATATTTTGTGTCTACATAATAGAGCAAGCATTAGGATTCTCATCACTGAAGAGCTGTGGAGCATATACAAGTCCAGGAGGAAAATTGTTGTATGAGTCTGTTTTTTCTTCTTTGTCCCCTTCTTTTTTCCCATCTTTTTTCACATCTTCTTTCTTCGCCGGTGCTGCTTGCTTCACAATCACCGCGCGCTTCCCTGCACGCTTGTGGATGTAATCCACCAGCTTCTGCGAATCAAACACTCCCTTCACTGTCACCTGAGCCTTCGCCATATCGGTCTCCACAGTGTGTACGCCTATAGCATCATATATGCACAAATTAATACTACATTCACCATTATAGCTATAGAAATCAGCTAGTAGTTGCAACCATAACAAGAAATCATAGGACATTATATTTCATAATCACCTACAATAGTAGTTTTTTCATTAACTTTTCCTATTAATGTAACTAATGTTGCTACATAGGAGAGTAGTTGTCAAAAAAGTACAGTGTTCTTTGCTGCCCTGAAGTTTAAAGGACTCATAGTGTAGTTCCCATTACTAAGAACATTAGTTTTAATTTGCGAAAATAATTGAGCAATGAACCTAAGAAAGCATAACAATTTAGACAGCATTTTATATTGATTTCTCAAAAATATAAACTTGAAATTAACAACTGGTTTAAGTTCCTATCAAATGTAGTACTCATTTGAACAAATCATTTGCTTTGTTCAAAATGCACTAAACTTAAAATTAACAATTGGTTTATACAGTTCTTCTTAACAAACATAATACACATTTGTACGGGAAATGAAATTTTAATTCTTTTGAAATATCGATGACATGGTATCACATTGATTGTTCTTAATGTACCACTATACTCATTCTATGGAGTTAGAGATGCCTAATAGAAGTGCTTGTTACTAAACCATTTCCAATTGGTTCCCAAATAATTGAATAGTTTGAATTAAACAGAGATTTAGAGAATGGAAGTATTAAATTAAAATAATAAACAAATTAAGATTGAAACAAAAAAATCATAGTAGATGAGATATACCCTGCATCTTATGAATCCTGTACTTGACATCCTGCGCACAACCATCACAATGCATGAAAACCTTGAGCACCACTTCCACCACCTTAGGAGGCTGCATTAAAAAATAATAATAATAAATAAAAATAAAAAGCCCAAACATTTCAATTTGTTACCAAAAACCAAGAACAAAAATGAATCTAATCACATCCCACAAAAAATATATGAACATCTTCAATTATATATATATATATATATATAGATAGATAGATATATATACAAAAATGAATCTAATCACATCCCACAAAAAATATATTAACATCTTCAATTCTATATATATATATATATATATATATATATATATATATAGTGTTTGTGACTGTGTGTGTGTGTAACAGAGACCTCTTCTTTTTTTTCTTTCTTTTCTTCTTTTTTCTCCTTAATAATCGGAGAGATAAGCTCGACGTGTTTTTTGGTCTTCTTCCGAAGCCGCTCGGCGACCTTGGTTGGGTCGGCGTTTTTGCCCTTCACGGTCACCTTGTGATTCTTGCTATCGATTTCGATTTCTTCAACACCTGAAATTCAAAATCAAGCCAACAAATCGGACACTACATGAATGTATCTAAATCTATGGATGGAATCGATTGAAATGAATTGATTAGAAGAAAAAAAATCGTCGATATACACCATCGAATCCTCTCAACGATTTGATGACCTTATCGGCACATCCTTCGCAATGAATATAGACACCCAGTACGATCACTCCCTTCGTATTTTGCGTCTTCTTGCTCTCTTCGTTCTCGGCATTACTCGCTTCTTCACTGTTCTGTGCAGGTGGGTTGATTTTGTTATTTCTCTGTTCCATCAATCCAAAATATTTAGGAATTAGAAATAGAAACTCGGTGTCAGAGTGAGAATTAGGGTTTACTACTCACCTTCCCCATTGCCGTAAGTTGGTGAGAGAGAAATTGCAGAGAGCTACGCAGAGGATGGAATGTGTGACATTGAGCTATATATTTATATATATATATATACTCGAGCAAGAAACAACTCCCACTCTCTCTCCAATTTAACTACTCAGCTCTTTAATTTCTAATACTCTCTCACCCCTCAGACGTTAGATAAGAGAATTTCCCTAAGCTCAGAAACAATGGAAGCATGTGAACCGTTTGATCAGAATGAACCTAAAATGTTATGCAATGGTTTTTTGGGGGTCATTATCCGATTCTATAGGTTCGTACATGGTAGTTCGGAGAGCTGGCAATTTTGCACTCCACATGGGTTCTGAGGGGTTTATGGGTGTTATTACACACAGATATAGATATATATATATAGAGAGAGAGAGAGAGAGAGAGATCGTTAAAATGTTGCCAAACAAAGAGATTCAGTATTATCTCATACGTTTTGTTTTTTTTGTTTTTTCCATTGTGATTGCCAATCTTGGGCTTACACACTAATTGGATTCTAATGACAAAGCAATTCAAGAAAACTATTCATATTCATTGGGTTTTGAAGATTATATTTATTTCAGCCAACTTAGGTTATCCACATTAAATTTAATTAAGATAACAACATAGTCATTAGAAAGAAACGGTCAAAAAAGAAATTAATTTTGGAAAGAGCTAGTTGTAACTTGTGTAAAATGGTTGGCCTTGTGGGATAATAATTAGACATCTTCCCATAACCATATATATATATATATATATGACATTTTTTAGTATTGATATATAATATATGACATTGAAACAACCCCCCTTTTTTAAAAAAAAAAAAAAAAAAAAGGAAAAAATTATACTGTAAATCAGTTACAAAACTTAAAAATAATTGCAGTTTTAGTAATCGTGGTGATTCAAGACATATTATTGGTCAATACCAATTTATTATTTTTGGTGACAAGTTGTTTTTAGGTTTGGTCACCATTGGTTTGTCTCATTTGAAAGAGGTTCATTACATGCAAGTTGTCACTTCCTTGAAACGTAGTAATAAAAAGGGTTAATTTCACCTGCGTTCTTTATCTTTGACCATATTTTATTAACAATTCCTCTACATTTTAATATTTCACTTACCTCTCTTTTCTGTAACAACAGTTTACTTTACTAACGGAACACGGTGATTTTACAATTTTACCCATCAATTGATATTTATAAAATTTTGAAACTAAATTGAAAAGACAAAAACACCCTTCTATATACATACATAGATAAATATACATATACCTGGCCAAAAAAAAAAACACACAACTCTACACCATGCATGGACTAAGACATCACATCTTTGCCCAAACTGACCAGATCATCACTGTCTTCGAGTTTCGAACGAAGATCCAACTCTGTCACCATCAACCGCTCCTCGCCCGGTCATCATAATCCACCATGGACGAAGACATCTGCAAAATTGCTGAATAGTCATTAACCGGGGTCAAATCGGAATACCAATCTACAGAATTGCTAAGAACTAGCAGAATCCAACGAGGTCGCGTCAAATCAAAATACCAATCGTCGTTTACTCAACCCAATCGTCGTTGCAGAAATGCTTGCCGTTGCAATCGGCCCACATCTCATCGCCATTGTTTCAGTCCTTCATCGTTGTTTCACCACCGAACATCATCCACCTCCGAACCAGACGCCGTTCAAATCGGAATACCAAACGCACAACCCAACAACAGTGATTCTAAGAATCGAGTGACTAGTTTGATCCTTGAGCACTTTCATGAACGAACCCCACTGACCCCATGTCAAAATAGACAACGTGGACGAGCATTGAACTGTTCACGGCCTCAAGAATCGCTTGATTGGCGGTGAAATTGGATAACATGATGATCGGAGAGACGTTAGAGAAGGTCTTGTAGGCTTTAATGGTCTGAACGATTTCTAAAGAAAAGGAAGGGCGAGTTGACCAGGTGAGCAGAGATTGAAGAGCTTCTCCGAAGTAAAACATAGCTCCCCGGAGTGGTTTTCCGGTGGCTGAACCATCCAGGTGTTGATTAAGCCGCGCCAATATCAAGTGCCCGAGTTGTAGGCAAGGTTATTAAAATCGGGATTCAGAATCGTTTTGGGCTCCGTAAAATCGGAATCGTAGAATTGGATCGTGAATAGTAAGATTCTCAAATTGTGAAAAAATAATTGAAACTAACTTATTAAACAATAAGATTCATAAAATATAACAAAAATGAGACCAAAATACACAATATTACATATCCATGAGTTCACAAATCTCAAATCCTAACAATATTTTAAAGTCCGAATATAAATAAAAGAGAATGTAGCTCAAAATAATATGAGTTTACAAATCTCAAATCTTTACTCATCCATCTCCAATGTTAGAAAGGAAATTTTTTTTTTTAACTTTATGCAATTTCCTTTTTTTTTTATTTTTTTTTCCTTCGAAAAATGAAGAAATAAAAAGACCTTTTTGTCCACCAATCCAAGTGTTACGGTATATGTGACCTTATTAGTTACAAGTATGAAATTAATCAAGAGATAGCACAACAAAATTAATGAAGCACGTGTTAACTCGATCTCATTATATTATCAGTTTAGACTACAAGATTATACCTTGGCTGGCATATCCGGCAAATCTTTTAAGTTTTTAAATTATTTTTAATTTTTAATATATATGATAAGCCTTCAAAAAAAAAAAAAAATAGTCAAATGAAAATATTGATCATGAAACTAAAATTTGTCTAAACCTGTTAGTCACGAGTATGCATCCTTGAGATATAATTGATCATTTTAATGTTTTATAATTAAACACAAAAATATATTATGGAACATCCACATGCATGGTAAAAATAATTGATATATATACATATATATATATATATATATATCTTTTTTGCCACTAATGAAAAATAATTTATATTTTATAGAATAAATATTTAACTTTGTATACTATACTTGGGTCAGGCCTCTTTTATTTTGTAGCCAAACCAACCAAAAAATAAAAAAAGTCCAAAATTAAAGGCCCAAACAACCAATTTTATAGAATCGGTAGAATCGTGTAGAATCGTACGATTCTACCTCCGATTCTACCAATTGAGCGATTTTGTTACGATTTGACACGATTTTGAGTTCTAAGTCGTAGAATCATGCGATTCTATGATTCAGAATCGCGATTTTGATAACCATGGTTGTAGGTTGTTCGATTCGATGCAATCAGAGGCTCGAACAAGATCATCCACGAAATCCAACACACAATTCCACTGACCCAACTTGGTCGGATTGAACAAGTCTGAAGATTGAAATTAGGCGAAAACAAGGATTTGAGAGTCGGACTGAGTCAGTTGAGGAATAGATACCACATCGTTCAACTAAGAACTCTAATATATATGTGTGTGTGTGTGTGTGTCTGTTCTTCACTTATGGTTTATTGGGTTTTTGAAGTAAGTAATGGTGGTGGGTATTTATATGTTGTGTGTATAGGTTTCAGTAGCGAAACCTCTGATTTGATTCAAGTCAGTTTAAAAAACATAGCTCTCTCTCATCTCAAGTCATCACTTCGCGTCCGCTTCACCCCCGAGTCCAATCGGACAAGTTAGCCATCACCGCCAAGAGTGTGTATATGTGTGTGTGTGTATATATATATGTGTGTGTGCACGCGCATTGGTATATAAATAAACTACATTATCATTTAGGGTGGTTTTGTAATTCCTCAATTAGTCGGTGAGGTTAAAGATGTCATTTTAAGAACTAAAAAAAAAGGTAAAATTGACCTTCTAACAAATTCCTCATGTTAACATCTGCACACACTATTAGTTGCTTAACGATAAGGGGTAACTTGCTACCTTTGATCAAAGGTCAGGGGCATGCGTGAAATATTAAAATCTAGAGGGAGTGTTAGTGAAATATGATCAAAGGAATGTCGGTGAAATTAACCCCAATAAAACTTGTAAGATTTTCACCCTCTCAATTTTTAGATCATTTTTCTACCACATGCTAAAAGGGGCAAAGTTTATAAATATGAAACCGCTTATAAATGATTCGATTTTGATTTGAAAGTGTAAAAGACTTATTAATCCGACCGAATTCAAATACTGAATCTTATAAATATATATATTTATATATTATATTATAATAAAAATTAATAGTTTACTTTATGCCTTTAATTATTATTATTATTTTTTTAATAGATGCCTTTAATTATTGACTGAAATTTATATTTTGCTATTCTGATTAGTGTATACTACATTGGACTACATTAGTGTATACCTCCTTTCAATTATTGTAATGTATATTCTTATTTATAAAATCCCCCCATTCAGGAAAAAAAAAATATACTACATTGGACTAATTGGGTCTGAACTAGTTATTAGACTACATTATATTTAGAAAAAAGAAATCAGAATTGAATCGAAGAACTATTCTCTCTCGATCCAGTTTGAACTGTTAGAACCGATTTAAATCTGAAATACTACTCTTAAACTGGTTTAATTTGAACCGTGTGCAGCCAAAGTGGGTTCAATAATGTAATTACATTTTTGCCAAAAAAAAAAGGGGCAAAACGTTTATGGTTAAAAGAATGGGGTACCATCGTTTTCGCTTCAGCTAACATAACAGAGGGATGTATATACAGTCCACAGAGAAAGAGAGAGAAGAGAAGAAGAAGAAGGTGGTGGTGGGAGGACGAAGAATAACGCGCAACACAGTCATTCTTCTCCATACTCAAGTTAGGGTTTGTTTTTTCTCTTATCTAATTTTAATTTTCACTTCAATCCACCTTTTTTTTGGGCGGAGAAATTTTGGCCGTGTATTTGCATCCATCTGTATCTCTCTCTCTATGTATGTGTGTGTATATCGTACCCATCACATATCTGTAAATAAACATAGTCTGATATGTTTGCCTCTTCTGCTCCCTATTGAATACCCAAACGTTTGATTGAAAATAAACCCAAATTAAATCTTCTTTAGTTGTGGGTGGTTGTTCAACAAATTCCCAAGTGCATGGACGGCGATCCTAATCTCTCCATAGTATATCACCTGTAGACTGTAAAATTTTGTGAACAAATTCTGCAACTATACTGCATTTCTCTGCACTATATCAGCTTCACAGACTCTGACCTATTATGGTAGAAACCCCTTTATGATTTAAAATTCTTTATCACTGTATCATAAAAAAGATTAAAATTACGAACAACATAGTACTCAATAAAGTATTGTGATGAAATGGAAATTATTGATTGCTTGAATGATGATATTGAGAGGTTTTTGACTTCTTATTTATAGTAATTAGTTTAATTTCAATATTATCAGAGATGGATTATCAAAATAATAATAATAATATATAAAATTATAGTATATTATCATTCTCTATCGTTTTATTTCATGTTGTCACGACTACACGTATCACGTTTCCATTTCCGTTCTTCTTAGTGTTTATAGACAAAGTGGGGGGCATTTTCTTGTTGGTTACTATTTGAACTATGGAAAAAATATATTTGGACATATTATAGACAAACAACAGCCAGAGAAATGTATTTTTGATATCTCATTACTTATTCTCTTCTATGCAGCTTTAGACTGCATTTTACGAGGCTCTGCAAGTAGGTTTTTAGCAGTATCATAACAAGGCTATCTTCATTCTCATCATCATCCTTTCCTTTATTCATATTTATATGAATGGAGTCAGTCACATGAAGTACTTTCTTTATTTTTTTAAATACTTTGTACTATACACCATGTTTCTGCTAAATTTTTATTTTAAAAATCATCTTTAATTATTTTCATATTTAAGTTTTGGTTAGCCTCGTTGTTGCTTACTTTTTAGGCAAACAACTCTTCTTATTCTAACCCGTGCATCTTCGGGTATACGTTGTATATGACCATACCACTTAAGTCTACATTCTCTAATTTTATCATTAATAGGCATTATTCCTAGTTTTTTGCTCACTCGTTCATTACTAATCTTATCTCTTCTAGTCACTCATGTCATCCCCCGTAGCATTATTATTTCTGCTACATGAGTTCATTGTTCTTGTTTCTCATAACAATGCTCTGCGTATATCAAACTGCTTGCATTAAGGATTTTTTGGATTTTTTGCGTCTTTGGACTCAAATTTTAATCTGAAGTTTTTTCAACAGGCATCGTGTAAAACTCTGTTGGAATATGAGATAAGTTGTAAAAGCTGAAAGGTTCACAGGAAATTTGGTAAAACTGGAACCACATATATTGAGTATATTTTCGTTGATAACATCATAACCTTTTCTTTTCTTATTAGTTGATTAGGTTTTTTAAAAGAGCTGTAATGAATTCTGTGAAGTACTTATCATCTGAGCATAAATGGCACTGAGGTATTACCATATATTTGCACTTGTATATTTCTGTTAGCTTAGATTAGGAAAACCGTGCTATAATATGCAACAAATGTCTTAATGTGATCCAAATATAAGGTTTCAACACAGCAGAACGATATAGAGAAGTGTTGACATGGGGAATTGGTAAGTTGGGACTATGAAACATGTCTGATGTAATCCTATCATCTTTTGTCTGGAAAAAGAAAAACTGATAATAGGTACCACATTTGAAATAAACAGTAGGATTATATGTTCTATTGTTTTCATTGAAGTACAAATATAAGTGAAAAAGGCTGATGAAGTCACCTATTCTTATATCAACCCCCCATAATACTTTAAAAGCCTTTTTTTCTTCTTTTTTTTTTCTTTTCTTTTTTTCCATTTCTTAGGCTTGTGAACTTAAAGATAAAGTTCCAGACATTTGAAGAATTACCAATACGTCATAATTAAACTTGTAAATAAGATGCCAATTGTATGAATGTTAAGTGCCTTGTTACATAAGGAATTGTCTTTCCTTTAGTATGACAAGGACATTGAAAAATGTTAATGTTTGGCCGTTATCGGTCCTTAGAGAAATGTTCCATTGTGATGTGAAATGCAAACTTTAATTAGCCAATGCAATCTAAAATTTGGGGTGTGGATTCCACTTCTGAAATGAATCAAGGAACTTCAAGAATTTACTTTCATGATTTTTGTATTATTTTCATGTTTATCTTGAACAAAATTTTAATCAAAATTCTTGCTCTTGGCTCTATGAGAAGATTTTATAGTTCTGTGTAACTCTGTTACTTTTTCCTATTCATTATATTTTTGGAATCACTAAATTCCATTGTGGGTTTTACTCCCTGTTTGTTGTTGCTTTATGCAGTCATGCCCTTTTACTGGTTGTATAAGAAAGTTGTTTTCCTTGTACTTGTCATTGCAGTTCATCTTGGATGTCCATATATATTTCAGCAGCAGCCTAACATTTTCAACATTATGAACATTAGATGGCCGAGGCTTCTGACGCCCACATACCTCTCTCAGCTCTTATGGAACCAAAAAAACCCGTTAACAGCTCTTCAAATCTTTAATGAAGCAACATCCAAATACCCCAACTACCGTCACAACGGTCCTGTCTATGCCACCATGATCAACATCCTTGGAAGCTCAGGTAGATTGACTGAGATGAAAGAAGTGATTGATCAGATGACAGACGACTCCTGCGAGTGCAGAGATTCTGCCTTTGAGAGTGCAATTAAGGCCTATGCAAAAGCTGGATTGCTGGATGAAGCCACCTCTCTATTTAAAAGCATTCCCCGATTCAACTGTGTAAATTGGACAAAATCATTGAATACTCTTTTGGAGATAATGTTGAAAGAATCTAAATTAGATTCTGTTCATTGTCTTTTCTTAGAGAATTCTTATGGGTGGGAAGTGAAGTCACGGACTCGTTCCTTGAATTTGGTCATGGATGCTCTCTGTCAGAATACTCGTTCTGATCTTGCTTTGCAGGTCTTCCAAGAAATGAATAGTCAGTGCTGTAATCCAGATACGGAAACTTATCGGATTCTTATGAATGGTTTGTGTAAAGAAGGAAGACTAGATGAAGCCACTCATTTGTTGTACGCTATGTTCTGGAGGATCTCTCAGAAGGGTAGTGCTGATGATGTGGTTATCTATAGAACCCTATTAGATGCTTTATGTGATAATGGGCATGTGCAAGAGGCTGTGGTAATTCTTGACAAGGTCTTGAGGAAAGGGCTGAAAGCTCCTAAACAACGCCGCAAGCAGTTTGATCTTAATCTGTTTCGTGATTGTGTGGAGTCTGTAGACATACAACAGGCTAAGGTTTTAATCAATGAAACTTTGATGAAATGTATGGTTCCAAGTGTGGATAGTTACGGTGCAATGGCAGTTGATCTTTACTCTGAAGGTAACATTGATGAGGCTAACAAAGTGCTCAATCATATGCGTGGTAGAGGATTTGGACCATCGCTTTTGATTTACGAAGCTAAGATGGCTGCATTGTGTAGGGAAGGTAAGGTGGTTGAAGCAATAGAGGTGATAGAACGGGAGATGGAGGGGAATCATGTGCCAACTGTGAAATCGTATAATACTGTAATAAAAGGTCTTTGTGATGCAAGGAGATCCACTTTGGCTGTAGGGTTTTTGGAGAGGATGAGCAAGCAGGTGGGTTGTGTTCCTGACAAGGAGACTTATAGCAGTTTAGTGAATGGTCTATGTCAAGATGGTAAATTTGTTGAAGCAAGCCAGGTTTTGGAGGGGATGTTAATTAGAAAATATTGGCCCAATGTTGACACATTCAATGCACTTATCAGTGGTCTCTGCTCTACAGGGAGACAATATGAAGCAGTTATGTGGTTAGAGGAGATGGTCAGCCAGGGTAAGATGCCACAACTATCTGTGTGGGATTCTTTGGTGTCTTCTTTCTGTTCTAGCATGGCTGTTACTGATGTTCTCCCTCAGATTCTTAAGCAACTAACAAGATCTTCTTGATGGGTTCTTGTGTAGCATTTTGATATTAAACATTTTTCTGTATCTCAGTTTTGCTTATGAATTTTTTTTCATCTTCATTGTAATTATGTGTAATTGTGTATTGTACTAGTTGACTTATAGTTGTACTACAGTATTAGTTAAGAGTTTGATTCTATGGTTTCCCAAAAAGGGTGTCAGCAACTTCAGTGAACTGTCTTTTCAAGCCTTTAAACATCCTACAATTTCCTTCAGTCCATGTGTGTCATGTGACACAAGTAAATTTCATCCTGTTGAGTTTGGCTTTGCCATAATTTTCATTTGCAAGGTTAACAAACCATAACACCAGCTCTCGCAAAGTATGAAAATGAGATCAAATCCGCCCTAAGCAACCTCTCAACCAGTTCTTTTATGATTAGCAAGGCAGGGAGCAAATTCGAATAGCAAGACGGGAGAAAGATACCATGTCATCAATGTCGTTAACCAATTATATCATGTCATTAATTTTTAATCCTTAGTTGATATTGTGTCACTAATATTAATATTTCAAGAGCATTAAAGTATTTTTTGTTTGGTAGGAAGGAAAAAAAATTAATAGAAGTGAGAAAAGAATGGATGACTGAGACATCTTAGGGAAGAGATTAAGTATTTCCCCATTTTTGTTCGGTTGGATGAAAGAGAATGAAAAAATCTGACAATTTATTTTGATATGTAAGATAAAAGGAAAGATAAATTTTTAAGTTATTTTTATGCTTAAACCCATCACTACTTTATTTATGGGATTATTAAATAATTTGTTCATTTTTTCCTATTTACCTTTCACCCCTTTTCTTTTTTTTCGGCAATCTTTGCTATCATGCCCGGATTTGGATTTACCCATTTTAAATAATATATATTTTAATAAATGTTTTACAACGGAATGAAATAAAAGAAAATATGGCACAAAAATATAATTTTGGTTAAGGGTCATGCATTGAAAGTAGTGTGTGAGTGAAGCCATCTGAAATTAATTTTTTTAGAAAATAATAATAATAATAACTTGAAATGACCCAGCATTTTTTATTAATTACTCAAATATGTTATCTGGAGAGAGAATTCATATTATCACTGAGGATATTATTTGAAGTGAGAGCATTCATATGCCAACATTCATTCATGTAAATTTAAAGTAAGAATAATTAGACAATTTTTACTTTTTATTTTTATCTAGCATTTCTGTCAAAATTAATATTATAATATTATTTTGTTTTATTATTTCTCCTAAAAGTATTTATCTGACCACTATTTTAAAATTTAATATTATAGATAGTTTGAGTGTGAAATTTTTATTTATGAAGATAAAAGAGAGGAAAGTTGGACCACCATAAATTTTGTGTAATTGTGTATTGACTCGACCACCGCAGGGACTATGGTCACGGACTAACAGCCTGCCGTCTATGACAAAAAGTAATAAAACCCTACTTCCTTTTCTGTCTCTAAAACTCATCAGATAATACAGAGATCTGTTTCTCTCTCTAGCATCTATCCTCAACACCCCAAGTACCACGCAAAACACACACTCCATAGAAAATGAAGATGAGAAACAAGGGGAAAGTACATCCCTCTCCATCATCATCACCTTCACCCTCTTTCTCTGTGATTCACAGAGACGCTTCGTCTGTATTGAAGCTCCTACCCACTGCCATTCTCGCACTAGCCTCTGTTCTTTCAATCGAAGACCAAGAAGTCTTGACATACATGATAACTAGGTCGATGAAATCGGAAAACCCATATTCGATGATCGAAGAAAAGAGAAAGAAATCCAATACCCACAAGCCTCCGGTGTTCGATTGTGGATGTTTCAACTGCTATACGAGCTATTGGTTCAGATGGGACTCTTCGCCCAATCGTGAACTCATCCACCAAGCTATCGAAGCATTTGAAGAACACTTGGCCAATGGCGAGCAGTCGAAGAAGAGCAGCAACAACAGGGCTAACAGAAAGAGAGACAAAATGGGTCGCCGTAAACCGGCCGATGTACCGGAGAAAGTACCCGATGTGCCGGAGATTGAGGACAGTTTCGTTGTGGTTTCAGTGGAAGATGTTAATCCTGTGGTGGTGTTACCATTACTAGTAGTCGATGAAAAGCCTGAGAAAGAGGAGCAGGAGGAGGCGGTAGAAGATGAGGCGGTGGTTTTTCACAGTCCAGCGGCGAACAACGACAAGGGTTTGGCGAGGAAGGTACTGCCGGACGTGTTGGGGTTATTCAATTCGCGTTTGTGGAATCTTTGGAGTCCGAAAGCGTAGTGGAAGCGAAAGTTAATTTCTTTTTTAATTTTCTAGGGGAGGAAAATAGGTAAGTTTAGTGCTGGTATTTTATAATTTTTGTACTAGAAGATATATAAATCTATATATCTTTTCCACTGCATTTCTTTACTGAAGTTTTTCCGGGAAACCATTTTCTCGATGTAATGTCTGCTGAAGTTTTTCCAGGAAAACATTTATTTATTTATTTATTTATATCATTAATACTAGCAGATTACTTGTTTTTGCTTAGTAGCTATATTTTGCAAGTATTTATATATATTTATGACATGAACCAGTGAAAAGCGGCCTGTACTACTACAACTCAGTGGTTTGGTATACTATTATTAAATTATTCGCATTTCCTTTAGTATTTTTTTATTATTATTATTTAATGTCAACGGATGTGATTTCCTATTTTGATTCCTTTTGCAAATAGCATATTATTTTAATTAGTTACTAAATTGGTAGACATCACTTAGATTCTGGACTTGGATACTCTGTTGCCTAAAATTGCCATTACCATTGGTCATAAAAATGGGTTACCCAAAACTTTTTAAAATATATATATATATATATATATATATGATTTTTCCCACCAATTTTAGTAGACTAATGGTTGAGTAGTCAAGTCAGTGTAATTGTCATTTTTGTATGTTTATTGGATTTTTTTAGTTCTGGCCGAGTTTAGTCTATAAATTATTACCAAGTTTGTTTTTCTATAGCTGAAGTTGGCAATGATATGCAGAATAGCCAATTTGTGTGTGTGTGTGTGTTTAAAGGGTAAATGCCCCTTTTGTGTAATGGAGGTTGACGATAGATAAATTGTTGGTGCTTTGTATTTTTGTGGGAGTTCCAAAGAGTTGATATCTGATCCCTATCAATAGGTGCTCCATTTCATATCAAGAATATAAAATCATGGATTAGTGAAAATTCTATGTGTTGAGGAAAAAATATGTTTTTGCCCCACTATCAAATGTTGCCAATTTACCTGTTTAGTCTTTCCATCAATTTACCTTAAAAGAAAAAAGAATTGTATTGGAAGGAATAAGGAAAAAAAATCAATTTTGATTAATGATTTGACCAAAGGAATAAGAGAAAAGAATTAAACAATCCAACAATAATTGAGAATGTAAGTGACAGGAGGGAAGAATAGGCACAAAGAAAGGAGGGGAAGGAAATGGAAGTGTTTGGGAACCCAAAATTTTTTAATCAAGAATGGCCAAGCAGGTCTAGCCACAGCAAATTTAGTGGTTCAAAAATTATAAAATTTTAATTTAAGTCACACAAAGCCGGAACATGAAAGCGACATAATTAAGTTATAAATAGTGAAAATTTGAATCAAATCGCTCGCGAAACGTGAGAATGAGAGTGACACTTATTGAGAAAGATTGTGAAACCTAAATCGACGTAACCTTATCGACTCTGTCGAAAAGGCTGTTTACCATGCCTTGCCACCAATTACTGTAAGTAATATATTGAATTCATGAACTAAGATTGAGAGGTCGTAAATGCTCAAACGTGCATTCTTATTGTTTGTGCATTTGTGACTTTACCAACATTGCACTATTTTGTTGGGTCATTTTTTGCTAACAAGCCTTATCCACGTAACTGGACATTTTATGGGTCTCTTTCTTTGATGAGTAACACAAATGCAAAGATTAAATTGGTAGGGACGAGAGAGCCTCCAACTATTTTTGTTGGCTTTGTCACTGACAAAAAGACCTAACACATCACTTTCCCTTACAACAGGGATGAGTCGGCACAATTCCTCTTTTACTAATCTATATTGATCCAAGACGATATTTTTATTATTATATATCAATTCAATAATAGTATTATAAAATTTTAATTCATTTATAATTTTTATACTAAAAGCTACTCTGAAGTAAATTAAAAAATAAAATTATGTCATTATTATAATTCTTTTTATATCATATATACCATTATTTCACTACTTTGTCATGATTGTATTCATATTATTTTCAAGATTATTGAATAAACTTGTGTTAAAAATATCCATAAAGTATCAATAAAGTGTCCGAAATAATAAAATTAATTTTTAATTATAAACACGTATATAAAGTGTCGGATACATAATGGAGTATCGGTGCCCAACACCGCGACACTGGTACGCCTCCTTCGTAAAAGTGTCCGTGCTTCCTGGATCCAAGGTGGAGGAGTTGAACCTTATTTTCATGGTTTTTTTTTTCAAGAAAATTATTTAAATCTGAAAATTCAAAAATAATTGACCAATTTAAAATTAGGGAGGGACTCAGGTAGTTTGGGGTGATTTAATGGTTCAATGGAGCTCAGGGTACTTAATCTAATTCTAACCGGACTTTCAATCCGAACCCAACTCATTTTAAAATTCTCAACTCAGTTGAGCTTGAGTCCGTGAGAAAAAATAAAAATAAAAATAAAAAATCAGGTTGATCTTATGTGAGCCTCAGTTGGCCCACCCAAGGATCAGGCCCGCTGCTGATGAGAGGAATAAGCTAATGAGATCTAGGCATATATAAACAGACCAACACCACCAAAGATTGTTTCCTGATTATGGAGCTAACTTTAGCTGTTCTATGAAGACCAAACTGGAGGATATTTTTTATACCATACTTACCCCATTAGACAAATTGTATTGGACCTGAGGTCCTCCAAGAACAAGACCAGTCTTGCAGGAGTTTAATTTTTCCGGAAGCTTTTCCTCTTTAGAAGGTTGTTTTTAACCCATCACACTCGATTGAGAAAGAAGAACCTTGAAACCACTTATAATTTGGGCTCAGGGCTTGTCCACAAAAACCACCTAAACAGCTGCTCTACTCACTTCTTTACGAGAAAAAGAAAAAAAAATGGAAGTGGCTGCTCCTGTAGACGTTTAAGCAGAACAAAACTAGAGTCTGTCAGCACAATAAAGACAATTTATAGGCAAACAACACATATCAAAACACATTAACACTTGTAGAATAAGAACCACCTTTTTGCAAGGGTTGCTACTAATCTAATTTAATTTGGAATAAGATCGTAGAAAGAAAATTAAAAATTCATAATCAAGCACAACACAAGTGACTCCAACATTCCACTATTCCACATCTTAGATGGTATGAGCTGAGATGCAGTTAACTGCGACTGTATCGAACAGTTCTCTTCAAATATATTGAAGAGAGTGACTCCAAACACGCCTTCAGCATTGAAAATGAAATAGTAAAATAAAAAGTTTTTGGTCAATGTCTCGATTTGGCATGTATTGTCCAACGAGAACTCTACATTGACAAGCACAGGAAGAGACTCTGCTTATTTCCTAATTTGTTAAACTTTCTGGCAGCATTATCCACCACCACACGATCGTGAGGCGTGGAACCACCAGTCATTATCATCCATCACTAATCATATTCCAAATCGGGTCATTGTGAATCAACCTTCACAGCATATATATGTTTGACACTATCTGTGTGCCTGTTTAGTGACTGTTTGGTAGTGCTGACTTAACACAGATAAGTTTAGGGATTTTTACCATTACATAGGCTTGAGGCCCAAATACTATCATGTAGTGATGTCAACTTCTTGATTTATCAATAAAATGAGAGGACCACTCAAACTTTTTCTTATAAATGAAAAGACCACATAATTATTTCTCTAAAATGGAATGATATTCTACTTTAGACCACACAACAAGTTATATTGTCACTTTGACCTAACAAAATATATGATTATATCATAATGGCTTTAAAACATAAAATAAGCTTACTGAAAGGTCCTTGAACAAACGGTTTAATATTAATATGGACTTATAGAGATGGAGTTATAATTCTGGGATAGCATCGAATTTAGGTTTATACATAAAAGATGGAAAAGTCGAATTACAATCACATATTGTCAAGAAAATTTTAGACTTTCCAGATAAATTAAAAGAAACCAAATTACTACAAGCATACCAGAAAGCAGCCTTGGTCTAAAATACAAAAAATAAAAAGATAAAAAGGATAGTAAAGACAAAGATAATAAGGATAATAAGATAAACACTTTGATCTTATATATAAATTAAATTCAACGAACCAGTATAGGCTCTGATACCAAAATTGAGTAAATTGAGTTGGATCTAACCAAAGAAAAGCATGCAAAATAATATAGAATAAATTTAACAATTAAATCACAAAAATGACTACCGAACCTGATAATGCTTTGATAACGTCCTATAAAAAGGCCTGAACTCCTGCAAGAACGGGCCAATAAGCCAACAGTTCGAGTCAACTCACAGAAGAAATTGCTAATTTTAATACTAAGGCTGCTTGTACTGGTTGGATTCAAGAAAATTCTAGGATCTACACTGTCTGGCTAAATAAAATCTATATATTAGATCTTTTTGTTGACAGAAGTCTTTTGCCCGAAAGTACTGAAAATACTAGATAAAGAAAAGGAAATTTTTTTTGAACATGAGCAAACTGGATAATTTATTTCATGGAAAATATATATATGGATACACACTGTTTATACATAGTTGCACTCTCACACACTATTATACAAAGGAAACTGAAAGAAGTCACAAAAGAAAACACACTGAAAGCTGAAAATGCTAGATGGTTCTAAACTTGATTGCTCTAAAACTCGATGATCCTTGCTTGAGAAAAGAAGTTCCTCTTATAGGAAAGGGAACAGATGAATCTTCGGTTGAGATTGAAGATGCTGCATAGATGGTTGAGATGTAAGATGCTTTAGAGATAAGATGGCCTGCATTATTGCTACACTGTTGATGTCAGCTTTTGAAGAATCTGATCTACTTTTACTGTTGGGAATTTGCTTTCGGTGGATATGCTTTTATCTGTACACTGTTGGAAATCTACTTTTCTTTATTGCTGAAGCTGACTTTATCTTTATACTGTGGCTGTGGAGAATCTGTTTTTTCTTTAGAATTCTTGCATATTGGACAAATTTCTATAGGAAACACTATCTGGTGGGCTGTCCCTTCTGTGTACGCGTGCCAAATATTCATCAGTGCTGTCTGGTGAGCTGGTTTCTTCATTTTTATAGACGGGGTCGAACTGTTCCAGCAACATTTTTTCTTCATTTATTATTTCTTCAACTTCTGGAGATATTTCAATCTCTGGAAGAGGCTTAATGACATGAGGAATTCTTGTTTTGACAAAAAATTTCATGCTAATATTATGGTCGTAGAGTCTGAAACCAGGGTTGTAGCTTAAGTTAACTCGACTATAGGC